TCAACACCTAAATAGATTAAAAACAGTGACCCAAGAGAGCTCAAGTAAAGCATTCAAGAAGACTAGCACATATGAATATACCTGTCCAGATGAAACACAGGGAGCAATGCCAACCTGCTACTTATTGTTTCTTTACATCTTCCTCAAGTTTCATGGCTCCCACTTGCCATTTCTGTATTTGTTGACTACAAGAGCAGAAGGCTACAGCAGCAGCACTTTTAGATGCCATAGCTACGCAATCCCACATTTTCTAGTAGCTGAAAATTAAGTCAAATAAACCACACAAAACCACAGAATTTTTTCTTCATAATTGCCCCACACTTCTTTACGAAAGCAGACTGGTGTGAGACAATGCATTATCAAAACACTGTAAATGAGGAGTTTCCTTTATTTTGGCTGGAGCAAAGCATTCTCAAAAATGTCAGCTGCACTTTGCCCAGCCCTTAGCACAGCCCGTGTAATGGGCTGTCACGAGGATTACCAAGCCTGAACTCTCTCTCACTCCAGTATGTTTTACCTCACAGCAATAAATATTATGATTTAGTATCTCCTGACCTAGGGACTTTATGACAAAGTACTAAATATCATCTTACTCACAGCTCGCATAAAATTTTAATAAACACATTCCTACATATTTTGTAATTGGCACTAAGCAGGATTCTGTTCTCTCAGTGTTGTGCTGGCAGGTCTAGGGGTCTGAATGAAAACTTGAGAAACTACCTTAATTTTTACAATAAATAATTAGCAAGCAGGTACAAACATCTACGCATACGCACACTTATATGTGCATATTCTCCTCCTCATAATATATTTGGTAGGACCAAATCAAAATAGCATAAATCACCATTATCTTCAGCCAAGCTGCTTTACATGCGTTGTTTTTTCTCTTTCCAAAGAACAGTAGAGCTAAATGTCAGAGGAGCAAACCCAACTCCCACACACCTTCAGATAAGCACTGTAGCTCTCTGAATTTCTTGGGAAGGTTGAAGGAAACAGCTCAACAAGGTTTGCACTCTGACAACTGCATGGAGGAGGGAGAAAAAAAACATCTCCCAAAGGACAACTATCAGCTGATGTTTTTCTTAACCTTAGAAATCCTACCTTTGTGTAAATTATGTGTTTATCACAGTGTTATACCATGAGGAATTGCTTTTCTGAGATTTGTGAGTAGAAAATAAGGTCAGAATAACAAACTTGGTAAACACTGATGTATCTTTATCTACAACTGTAATTCTATTTATTTTCTTTTTTTTTTTTTAACCTAGGAGTGAGGTAATCATTAAGATTAATCTACGTGCCAGTCTAGCATCCATCATGATTTTAAGTTTCACATTTCTCTCACCAAAGTAAGCATATTTCCTTTCTTCCCCTGCTCTCCTAGTTTTCAGTATGCCAATAAGGCAAATAGACTCCTGGTGCTGCTTTACTGGCTTTAATCCGCTGATCCATTGTGATTTTGGGGGTTAATTTCTACGCTAAGTCTTTGGTAATAACAATTCTAAAGAGAATAGAAGTATTTTCTTAAACTCCAGAAACACATGAATCATTAAACAAACATCTCCTCTGAGTAAGGCACAACCCAGCAGGGCTGCTACACATACACACTTCCTTCAATATTAACGTTTTAATAGGTGATGATTGATCATAACATTAGGAATTTAAACGCACAAAGGCAGCACAGCAGTGAGCAGCCTCCACTGCACATAAAAAGTGAACGTGGTTTATCAAAGCAAAATTCTCTCTTGATCCTCTCTTGGGAGATTAAGCAGAGAAGATTTTTAATCAGTCTCAGTGTTGGCATCTACTTCTGGAAATACGACAACCAAAACTAACCAGAATGCCTCGTATGTCAAACCAAAAGGCTAAAGGGATAAAAGAAACAGAAGGGGAATAAAAATAAGATTTTCAGGAGCAGAAAGCTTTAAAGAAAAAATAATAAACAAACCAAAAAATTATGAAAAATCCACTCTATGTGATGTACATATGCCCATAAAATTGAAAGAGCTTTAGGACAGACATCCTAATGCCTCATTTCTAAGTTTCCTTTATTAGGGTGGATGGGAAAAGGGAAAGAGAAAAGATCTGAATTCTGTAAGCCAGTGCCAGAAAATGTGTTTGGGCACAGTTTTATTCTGCCTACTCATCCCTCTCATCTTTATCTATGACCCCCAGAAGGCAGGCATTTGAAGATGTGCTCAATTAATCCAATTAGCTATATTTACATTTGACTCAGCCACCTACATCTGCTATTGCAGATACCCTACCATTCCCTCCTGAAAAATCCACTTTGTTTCCTTTTAAGTACGCTCTAACAGCTAGTAGCTTTTCAGCTGTTGGGCACAGGTGGCTCCTGGCATGTCTTAAATACCTTCTCCAAATCACTTCAGTTTTGCCTTGCAACAACTTTTGTGAGCAGAATTCAGTAAGAGTACTTACAGAGTATCCGGAAGTCCAAAATCTTTGAAAACAGTAGGAAAAAACCACACTTTCTTCTGCCTTAAGATGGAGTTAAGAGTGCAAAAAAAGGCAAGTGCCAACAGGGCTTAGGATTTCAATGAAGTAAGGACTGCAAAGTTATTTGGGACCATGGCTCACAATATTCACTAAGAAAATGTGCAGAAAAAAAAGATAATGTGGTGATTAAAAGTCTCTTAATAATGAAAACAAGAGGAAAGTATGGCTATTATCCATATAGTTAGAAAAACAAGGCAAGTCTATGGTACCCATGCAATGGCATCATGCAAACGGTAGGATTCTAAAACCTCAACCTACACACAGACATTTCTCTTTTGACATAAATCAAGTAAATTAAACTAGTGGCTCGGCTGCATATCAATAGCAAAACTAAAACCTAACTTTAATTGCTAACATGTAGATGTTACTGGTTACTCTGGTTTAATTGTATCTGTATAATAAAAATCACAGTGCTGTTTGCTTTGGAACATTTCCAGGCCTTGGCCAAATAAAACTTAGTTGTTTTGAAGGTTTTTCTTAAAGCTACCTGCCTGTTTGATTTTTTTCTTCTTCCATTCTCCAACTGTAGATTTAGCAGCTGTAACAACAGCTGGGCAGTTCAGCAGCTGTAAAAGACAGATGCCAAGTTCTAGAAAATAGCTTCCTAGTAAAAGAAAAGAGGGTCTGTAGCACGTTTTCATGGATCCCCCCATCAGGAAATTTTACTCTGCAACTTGGTGCCAACTGTAGAGCTGACCTCTCTCATGCTGCACTTTCGCTGAACACACCCGGGAGACAACAGATCCTCTCAAAGTTTGCCCTCTCTCATTCAGTTGTGACAGAGAAAAATCCTTTTGCTGGTACAGAAAAAATAACATTCTGCTACATTATTTTACGCATTTTTTGTGTTGGTTCCTGTGCTCTTTTTAGTGTCAATACTTACTAAAAGGAAAGCTTTAATAACAGATATTAATTAGAAATGTTTAGTTTGTATCATATCACCAAGATAAAACTGACCCTATATTCTATATGTCTTACCTGCAGAAGATCACATTAGTAATAGAATGATCTAACTAAAATATGGAAATACTGTATAAGCCTTCTTGTATCAACCCCCTATCATAGCAGTGGTTTTAGCAATCAGAAAAGGAGGGGAAACCAAAAACTGATCTTGTGTGTACCGGTCCTTAGGGGTCTTCTTAGCTTTCTCAAGCTGTTTACAACTGGCATATGTTGGAGGGGAAGGGGCAAAAATGTCTCTTGATACTTACCAAGCTAAATTTATTAGGATAGGAATCAGCTTCTGTTTGACTTTAATTGCAGCTGTGGGCATTAAGTTGCTCACACAATTCAGCCCACTAATTTCAGCATCTAACTATAGGCTGTGTACCAACCCAGAAGAGCTGCTAATTGAAAACACTGCTGATAGTGCCCAAAGTTAAAAAAGAACGATAAAAGGTATCAAGCACTGCTGATTTAATATACTGTCTTAGTCTTCCTCCTCTTCATCTCCACAATTCATGGAGAGTTTTACAAATTAACAGATCTTTATAGAAACAAAACAGGTGGAGATGCCAGAGAATGCAAGGGAGAAATAAAATTCTTAAAAAAAAACCAAACAAAAAAATTTAAGTACACTTGAAGTAGCATGTACTAACATACTCTGCAAATATTACAGCAGTGACAGAAAAATACATGAAAAAAAAATCAGGAGAGATTTTATGTCTTGAACACAACCATGCCAGGTTTCACAATTTTAAAAATGGTCTAAGAATTTCAATGCAGAAACAGGGTATGAGCAAATGATTGCAGAATTCAAGGAATGACTTACACGTGTTTTACCATAGGTACAGTAATTGACTGTGAAGGTATAAAAATGTAATACCCTGAAACTCCACTCAGGGCATCCTCCTCTTACTGCAAACGTGCTGGCAGGGCACATGCTCTACTTCATGACACACACAGTAATGATCTGTTACAAGCGGTAATTGTTCCTGCACATGTATAAAAGCATATTGTGCTGTATCCCCAGGAAGACGGCATATGCTAGAAAAAGCAACACCTACAGCAGAACACTGTGAGACTTAACAGAAGCTGTAAGAAAGAGGGTGAAGAAATTAGCGCTTGCCACCTGCACATTACCAACACAAAAATGAGTTCCCTGTGGCTGGGCAACTATTCACAAATGTTGAATTCTTACCACATGGACTCTAATGCAATCGCCTCCAAACTTTTTGATCCCACACCCCTAGCAGTAAAAAAAATCATGAACATGCACCCCAATATATTTATAATTATTTATTTATTTATTCATCAATTATACAGACATATGACTGAAGTTCTGATATTTCCTTCCTGCAACCCAATGGACCATCTCATGCACCCTACTTTGGACACCACAGCTCCAATGAACAGAAGAACAAAAGCCAGCAAAACAAGTACCTGCCTCAGATATTTGCTATGAACATCCACACCAAAATTCTGGGGGCTCTGGGATAGCTACTATAACTAAGCTTTTGCTATTAGAGATGAAAAATCAATCTTACCAGAGGTGGTGGTGGTGGAGGGGGCCCTCCAGAAGGTGGTGGAGGTGGTGGAGGAGGAGGTGGTGGTGGCGGCGGCAGCGGCACAGGCATCCGTTAAGATTTCTAGCTTCACGCAGTTATGAAAAGTATAGCCAACCTCTGTGTCCTTGAGGGGAAGGAGAGGAGGAGAAAGAAAAGTGAGAAAAATTTAAAAGGAAAAAAAATAAGAAGAGGAACGTGTTTATACACTGTAAGCTGAAGATCAGCCAAATTTCTAGCTCTCAGCAGACTGAAGACTTTTATACTGCACTGCTTCCAAAACTACAGTACGAACAGGCTCATTATAGTTCTCTGATGACAACATTCATCTAAAGAGCAAGCTCACAGATCTGGAGAAGTGCCACGAATACCAAACACATAGATGCCTGCCTGTCCAGCTTTAACTGTTCTGCCTTGCCTTAATCTAGCCCATAGCCCCAAAACGCAATTCTGCAGAGAACAAATCACAGTCAACCACATGTAGACACGTAGACACTCCTGCTGGGACATAAACTCCATTGACTTTAAGCCAGAGTTTTGCCACTCTAGGGGTAAAGTAAGGAACTTGGTGAGGTTCACTGGACTCGCTCCAATGTTACAAAAAAAAAGAAAAAACAGAAAGACAGGATTGAATAATAAATGAAGAAATAATATTACAAATTAAAGTTTCATTAAATATGGTTCTGTTGCCAAATGACAGCATATAAGGACTCAGCATTTCAAATATTAAAGTCACATAGGGTTTTCTGCCATTTTTAAATGTTAACTTTTCACAATTCTTTAGTAATACACTGACTAAAAATACAACAAAAGATGTATGTTTTGTGGGGTTTTTTTTTAATCTCCTGCAGAATGATAGGGCATCACTCAATGATTTTCATCTCTAACCCAGTCCCCAACACGACTGCACCCCCTCTCAGTCTGAAGGGATCTTTACAGTCATAACCATAAAGTTAACAAGCAGACCCTGTATTGCATCAGTAAAATTGCAAATTGAAGTACTGGGCAGTGCCAAAGAGAGCCCTCTGCAAGCCATACTTGATAACTCCTTTCAATTTGATAGTGACTCTCGGATAAATGCTCCAAACATGGGTTTACATCTAGTTTTATGTCCATCGTGTCATGACTGTCTTCTGAGACTCTTCACAATGTCATGCAAAACGGCGGCAACAGCCCTACAATAACACAAAATCTGACATCTGCTATTTCTTTCACTTCTGTAAGGCTTTATCTTAGCAGGAAATTACGTTGATTTGACACATTTGTTCTTTATACATCTCCGTAGATCATAATTTGTTTTCCTGTCTCCTCCAAGCATTTAGAAACATTTTACTTATTTTGATGTCTCTCTAGAAATTTAAGTTGAAAGGACCACAATTCCCAGCCCCTGCTCCCTTCATCCTTCCCTTCTTTTTTAAAAGCAGGCATTCTGTTTATGCTTTTCCAGCTGCCTGAAACCTTTTGGTCACGTCATTTAAGAATCCTCTGTGTAAGCAGGAGAAATGAGACAGTTCAATCTGGAGAGTTTCAGGAGAGAGGACAAGGCAGAAGAGAGGCAAGTTAAAATCTTTAGGGAAACATTTAGCTGTTTTGTTAGAGGGATCGATCAGAAGCAGCACTGAAGTTAAAAGGTACATGCAGCCTTGTCCACTTCCTAGCAAGCGTACGTGAACAATATCCGGATAACATCTGAGTATTTTCCTTCTGCTGTATCTTGTAGAATACTTTATGGGAGATTGATCAAAAATTAACCGTGCAGAGCCTCTGCAACATTTGCTTTCTCCCTTGAGAGATTGCCCTGCGAAGGACTGGCCTGTCAAAGCACTCTGGATCTGCACCAGAACGGGCTACAATCACTCCAGTCACAACCACGGAATCACGGAATTGTCAGAGTTGGAAGGGACCTTCTAGAGATCATCTAGTCCAACTCCCCTGCCAAAGCAGGATTGCCCAGAGCACATCACTCAGGACTGCATCCAGGTGGGTCTTGAAGATCTCCAGAGAAGGGGACTCCATGACCTCCCTGGGCAGCCTGTTCCAGTGCTCTGTCACCCTCACTGGAAAGAAGTTTTTCCTCATATTTGAATGGAACTTCCCGTGTTCCAGCTTGTGCCCGTTGCCCCTCGTCCTATCACTGGAAACCACTGAAAAAAGTCTGGCTCCATCATCCTTCAACCCACCCTTTAGGTACTTGTAAATATAGATGAGGTGTCCCTTCAGCCTTCTCTTCTCCAGGCTAAAAAGCCCCAGCTCTTTGAGCCTTTCCTCATAAGGGAGGTGCTCCAATCCCTTAATCATCTTTGTTGCCCTACGTTGGACTCTCTCCAGTAGTTCCCTGTCTCTCTTGAACTGGGGAGGCCAGAACTGGACGCAGCATTCCTGTTGTAGGCCTCACCAGTGCAGAGGGGGAGAATGACCTCCCTCAACCTACTGTCCACACTCTTCCCTATGCAGCCCAGGATTCCATTGGCCCTCTTGGCAACAAGGGCACATTGCTGGCTCATGGAAAGTTTGCTGTCCACCAGGACTCCCAGATCCTTCTCCTCAGTAGTGCTTTCCAGAAGATCCACCCTTAACCTATATCAGTGCCTGGGGTTCTTCCTCCTCAGGTGCAGGACCCTACATTTGCCCTTGTTGAACCTCATTAGGTTCTTCTCTGCCCAGCTCTCCAGCCATCTCCACCATTCCACCCTCACTGGTGCCCTGTGCACAATGCTATTATCAGAAGACATCTCTTTTCCTCAATTAAGTCATTCAAAAACAGGGACATAAGGAGAATGAGTCTTCCCTGCTAATAATATGTTTCGGGTTAGTGTCTTCCTACCCTACAATACAGGCCTTTTGTCTTCATTAAGGATTTAGATTGGGAAATGTGCTCTTAGTCAAATTAGAAAAAAAAAATACAGCCCACGCTTCCGTGGCAGAGCATGTGCGTGGCAGCAGGAGGTAAAGCGCACTGGAGGCGAGCAGCAGTGGGAGAGGGGAAACGGGAATAATCAGCTCTTGGTATTTAGAAGTCAGTCTTGCATCTGAAATGCCATCAGTTGACTTTTCTGCCTGCCTCTCCCGCCAGTCCCAGCACCAGCACCCACGCCTCCCAGTGATGCCGCCTAAGTTCCTGGACCAGAAGCCCTGTGGTCATCTACAGCCCAGTGCACAGAAGTGTTCACTTCACCGTGTGTCCCACTCCCCTGTCCTGAATCCTCCTGTCCAGTGCCACGGGAGAGGAACGCATTTCAGGGGCTATAACCCACCACCCTTAAATGAAATATTGGGAGTGCCCTATAGCTGCAATCCCATACTGTTTCAAATTCTCTACAAAGGAACTGTCTTTCAGAAAATTCTGCTTATGTGCCTTCTTTTGTCTCTTATCACAAAATCAGAGGCTTAATGTCCTGACCTTGGCATGCTTTTGTGCACACAGACAAATTAATATGTTTTTTACACTATTACACTCTGAAGGTAAACATATCTAATACCTATACAATGAAGAAATATTTTCCGCAGAAGGGTTCTATTTGTTCAAGAGAGCTTTGGAAGGAGGGCTGTCATTCACACAAGGAGACATTAATGGCAAAGAAGGACTGTATGTAGATAAAAGCAGGAATCTTCAAACCAACTTACAATAAAAAAAAAAAGCTCTTAATATTTAGTCATAACTGCATGATCTACACCTTTTAGTACATAGGACTGGATATGAGAACCTCTTTTGTATCACTGCACCTATCTCACTTACATGGTTTGTATTTAATTATGGAGAAGACTGCAACATTTTCAATATATTAACACAGTTATTTGGAGGCCTTTATTCCTTGGTTAAAAGCTGTATTTCATTTGCTTCTTCCCCCCTCATCAACTTGTATTTCTGACAATAGCTTCAAAACATGCCAGGGTTACAGATTTGCACAATATAAGCTAAATAAATTATGAATTAAAAACAAAAAAAAGGAGTATCACATTAATCAGTTCTTCTGTCTGTTAAGAGCCAGACAAGAGGGAAATGTCACCAAGGGTCCTTAAGGCACACGCGCCCTTTCTCCTCTCCTCTAAATATACATATTTATAATTTGAAGAGAGGAGTCTGAACTATCCCCGAGGGACAGAAATAAAAAGATAAGGTTTAAAACGTTGGCAATAGGTGGAGGGGAGAAGCCTGTGTGTTTAGCCTCAGTTTTCTCGGGCAAAAAGTAATGTAAATCTTCCCTTGACTTCCACGTCACCAAACAGAATCAGACCCAACAATTGCAGAATTATTGAAAAAAAAGGAAAATCCCAAACCCTGCCTTTTCTAGTCCACCTCCCTACCAAAGCAAGGTTATACCTTTCCTTTTTAGTGCTTTCTGAAGTCTAATTTTAGGTGTCCCAAATAATGTGGCTTGTATTATTTCCCTTGGGAAACTCTTTCTCAGTCAACTAACTCTCATAGTTCAGATTGCCTGACCCTCAGCCTAATTTCTCCCTTTCTTAATTTGGCCCCATTTGCACTCCACTGCAGATGACTCTACCTTGTACCAAGAAAAATAGTTTCTCTTACTCCTCAGCATCAGCTTTGTGAAATATAATAATTATAATTCAGAAGTACATTTACAGGAACTAGTTATACTTTTTGAGCTGTTTTACTTCTTACAATCATCAGTCAGTGAACATTATTACTGTTCTCCGATTCCAAAACAATTGGTCTTTTTTTGTCCTTTTGATAAGGGTAATTCTAAGACTGGTAATTTCAGGTGTCACAGACTGTTCCTTGCTTCTCACGGTGCTTGGTTGAATAGCAGCTGGGTTTAAGTAAGAACAGCAAGTGCAGACCTCAATATAGAACTCAAGCTCCAAACTTACAAAGGCCCAAATGAAGGCTTCTGAAGGCTTCACCCAGACTTTCATTTTGAAGTGTCAGACAAGGCAGAGCAGATGCAGATGTTTCCTCTTTACCTGTGGAAAACTCCTATATCTGCCCAAGCTTTTATGGAGTTTTGGTTTCACCTTGCCCAGCGACCAGATGTTCACAAGCTCTGATCTGAAAGCTTCCCAAAGGTCTCCTCCTAAAGTGTCGCTGCCACAGTGCTAGGGTCACACTAAGACAAAGTCCTGCTGGGAGCACAGAGCCCCACTGAGGAACAACGTGGTTTC